TTTTTTTTTTTTTTCGTTTCTGCACTGCCCCTTACTCGTATTCATACTTTGTGTGCTGCTGTTCTCTTTCGGGGGTTCGACCTCAGTTCTGTGTTTTACCGGCAAGACTAAAGTATCATGGTCTCCCTAGCCACACTGAGGGGCGCCAACAAGGTCGTCATGTTCTCCTGGGTCACATGCCCCTACTGCAACCGCGCAGAGAAGCTGCTGCAGCCCATGACGACGGATCTGAAGATCCACTACGTGGACAAGATGGGTGAGGGCGAGGCGCTGCGAGAGGAGATCCGCAAGTTGTACCAGCACGAGACTGTCCCCGCCATCTTCATCAATGGGGAATTTGTTGGCGGCTGCAGCGACGTGGAGGCACTTGACCGTGAGGGCAAACTCAGCGCAATGCTTGGGAAATGAGTGCTTGCACTCGACAAGGAAAGAAACGGCCTCGAAATTCACTTTGGCCAAAGAGCCGCATCATTGGAAGGAGAGGATAAAAACTACTTATTTTATTTCTTCATGTCACAAACTACTTTCGAACTGGGATAATCAAAAAGACAAAAAGGTGGCGGAATAGGAAAGGCAAGGTGGGGGTTGTGTTTTGCCAGCAGCGTCCCGTGGGTGCGTGCGAACCGGTTTAGCATACGTGTTATTTTTGTTTGTTTGATGGATGATATGGCATTCCAGTTGTGTACGTGTGCGCCTCACTGTCACTGTCGGCAGTGACGTCTGTGTCACCGCGCCTCGTACTCTCTCTCTCTCTCTCTCTCTTAGCAACAGCAGCAGCAATTCTCTCTCTTCCTCCATCCGCCAGCACTACCCTTTGCGCTTCATAAGGTATAGACGGAAGAGATGCTGGTCGACGGCCACATGGTGGAGGAGCGCCTTAGCGCCTGGCAGAAGAAGAAGGTGCGTACTATTGTTGTCAATAGCCGCTCAAAGGTAGCATCTCGGCGTTCCATTGCAGGTGCCATCTCTATTGCGAAGCCGTACGACAGGATTGAGCTGGTGGGTGGGGAATACTTCGAAACGCTCTCCATCACCTTCCCACTGGAGATCGTCGCGGCAGAGGGCGAGGACCCCAGCATCGTGTCACGCGGCACGTGTGTGACCATCACGCAGGATGTGGAGGCCTACTTTGAGCATGTTGAATTCATTTCCAAGGGAAAGGGCAGAACGGAGGCGGCTGTGGCCTTGATGCACGGTAGGGCCGTGTTCTTTCGGTGCAAGCTGAGCTCTGTTATTGTGGGGGGCTTCGCCAGACCACACATGGAGCACTGCACCATTGCTGAGAGTTACAATGGCTACGGGGTTCAGATCAGCGACAACAGCAACGTGGATATACAGCACTGCACTGTCCATACACACCATATCGCCTGCGTAGACATTGACACCAAGGGCGTGGTGATGTTGCAGGAAAGCACCCTACGTCAGCCTGCAAATGGGGGAAACGTCGTTTCAGTGCGGGCCTCGCAGAGCTTCATGGATGAGACCACTCCCGTAGAAAACCTTGCATGTCGAAAAGTAACCGTCACAAAGTGTCATATTTACGTCACGTCCGAATACTACAAGCCGAAGGATCGCGAATGGATTGGTGACACGGCCACAGGATCACCAAGTTGTGTCCTGATATCACGTGGTGCGTGCCCTGTGTTCACTTTTAATGAGCTTCTCGAGGGATTCATAGGTTTTACGTTTGAGTTTGCCGGGTCCGCAGTTTTGGAGGGAAATGTCATATGCAATCAGAAGCAATGTGGCATCCTTGCCATTGTGGATGAGAAGAGCTACTCCGCCGACACCAAGGAGCAAAATCTCCGCATCACTGGGGGCAACCTCATTGATCGGTGTCATATCGGTATTGATGTGCATTGTGCAGGCAAGCCCGTTCTACCAATTGGGAGTGAGCAGGGAAGCATTCTCTCTCAGAACCTTCCCTCATGCGGTAATGCGTTTAGCTGGCTCGAGAGGCTACGCAGGACATGTGATAAGCGCTCCATATCCGTACGCGACCATGAGGGCAACATCCCTGTTCGCGTGAATAGCCATACCATGGCGCTCGAGCGACTCAAAGAGGAACTGCGGTTACTGGCGCGGTTGGTGTGCGCTGGTCACCCTTCCCACTTCAGCGGTAGCGACTCCCAGCAGGGACGTCACGGCGGCAGTGGGGTAAATTTCTTGGGGGAGACGCTGCGGGAGACACTCAACATATCGGTGCCATCACCGAACACCGCGGAGGCGGCGGCTCAGATGCTGAAACTCCGCGGTAACAGAGGCATTGACATTCTAGACACACGCTTCTCCAGCTGTGGGTTGTGCGCGGTTCGTTTCGAAAACGATGGTTATGGGCTTGTAGAGGACTGCGACTTTGTGAACTGTGGTGCGACTGCCATCGTGGTGGGCAGTGGCGCACACCCTTTGATTGTGGGGTGTAAGTTTGACCAGTCGAAGGGAGCAGGCATTTTTGTTGACAACTTCGCTAATCCTCTTATTATGGGAAACGAGATCTCAAACAACGCAGAGCACGGCATTGAGTTTCGTAACTTGTCATGCGGTATTGTGATGGGGAATCTAATTATAGGGAATACCCTGAGTGGAGTGTATGTATCAAGTGGAAGCACCACCATAGTGGCAGGCAACTGCATCCAGCAGTGTCATTCCACCGGAGTGACGGTCTCATCTGGAAGCAGACCTGTGCTTGTCATGAACAAATTTGTATCTAACCTTGCTACACAAGTGCTGGTGTCTGAGTATTGCACTCCAGTTATTGCTTGCAACAATTTTCTTGCCAGTACGGGTGCGGGTCTCCGCTTCGAGTCATGCAGTGGGGGAACAGTGATTGACAATACCATCGCAAGCAACGAGCGGGGAATTGTGGTGGAACTGGATGCCGATCCTTACGTCGTCTCAAACAAGATCACCAACTGTTCACGTCATGGTGTAGTGGTGGGAAATAATGGTCTTGGCACCTTTGTGTCCAATGAGATTACGCAAAGTGGTAGCTGCAACTTTGTCGTGCAGGAGGGAGGCTCCCCGGTTGTGCGAAACAATATTATAAAACAGGGCCACTCCGGTGGTGTGGCAGTTCTCGCAGAGGGATTCGGAACAATAGAACACAACCTCATCACGGAAAATGCTGTGGGGAATGTCATTGTGTTAGACCGCTTCACTGAACCTGTATTCGTAAGCAACACCATCTCATCTTCATTTAGCGGGGCTGGCGTTATATGTGGTCGGGAAGCATGCGGGAACTTCATGCGTAACTCTATATACCAGAACAAGCAGTGTGGGGTGTATGTCATTGGAAAGGCAAACCCAACGATGGTGAATAACACCATAACCTCTGAAACAATTGGTATCATTGTGTCTAGTCACGGTCGCGGCATCTTCAAGGAAAACAACATACATACCTGCCACAGTTCTGGTATCATTATTCAGTTGAACGGCGAACCCGTCATACAGGGCAACACGATATCCAAGTGCTTTCTCAGCGGCCTCTTAGTAGCACCCGAAAGCAGTGGGAGCGTCATTGGCAACACGTTTCATGAGAATGACGTGGGGGTGCAGCTCGGTTCCACTCTGGGCACCACGGAGCTCGATTTAGAGATCAATCTCGTCAGCGGCACCCCCTCCCCAATCTCTGCAAGCGAAAAGATCGGTCCGTTGAAGCCACGCCGCTCACTCGCCGCCAAGAAAGGAGTAGAGTTCCAAACAGGGAGTAAGTCAAACCCGACAGAAGTGCGTCAGAATAAGATTTGTGCGAATGCTACGTGTGGTGTGTTATTGGAAAGCGGGGCCTGTGGGGTATTAGAGGATAATGACATTGAGTCCAACGAGATGTACGGTGTCATGGCGGATGTGGGGTATAGCGCGAAACGAGCCCAAGAAAAGCTTGGGAAGAAGCTTGGGCAAGGCGGCTGGAAGTTGCCGCAGGTAACAGCCGGCGGTGGTAGTGCTATTATTCGCAGCAACCGCATTTTTCACCACAAACACTCAAATATTGCGATTCTTGACCATGCATTTAATGGCATTACTATCGCTTCCAACGATGTGTATGAGTCCCCGTCAGGGGTTTATGTGAGAAACAACGCCACGATTCACTCTATTTTTGGTAATACGATTCGTGACTGCTTTGACGGTGTTTACGCTGAGAGCGGTGGTCGTGGGTGTTTTGAGAACAACAAGATCCAGGATTGCAGCGGTGTTGGGGTTTACGTCTTTGATCGTGCTGACCCGCTGTTCAAGAGTGGCAACGTGATAGAAAGGTGCCAAGCAGGAGGTGTTTTCGTCGACGTGGGTGGCAGAGGCGTGTTTTCTCAGACGACTGTGACTAACTGTGTGGTGGGTGTCGTGGTGTATACGTGCCAGCCCATTTCTTCCGTCGTCCAAGAGGAAGATTATGTGAAAAGTGGGTTTCTGACGTCAGCGCCAACGTTTGAGCAATGTGTCATTGAGAAGAACTCACTACATGGTGTGCTCGTGCTTACTGTCCCAAGTGGCTGCCCGCTGCGGCGCCATACGAACGATGCGCTGAAGCACTACCAAAAAGTTGAAGGGCTTGTAAACGCCCCTGGTGTGGCCATGTTCCCGCAGTTCCGGCAGAATACGATCCGCAACAATCGTCATATTGGTGTATGTCATGAGACATACTATGCCGGTGAGTTCGCGGAGGGGCAGGACGGCGCAACACCGTGCACCAGTCCGTCGAAGTCGAAGCGTGCAACGCACTCTCACATGCACCCACACCGCCGCACAAGTGGGGTGCACCTCTCCCGCTCGACACACCGATACTCCCTGCAAGAGGCGCTTGGAACCTCCACCATGTTCAATGCTGATGATCACCACCAAGAGCGCATGCGACGGCAAGTGAGTTTTGTGGATAATATCATCACTAATTGCTCCATTGGTGTTGTGGTTGGTGGTGGCTGTCACCCTTTTCTCCTTCGGAATCGTATCCACAGCAATGCCTTCTTTGGGATGCTTCTGCGGTTGAATGCAAAAGCCATGTGTTGTGGCTGCGAGCTTACGGATAATGGCATTGCCGGGCTGTATGCCGCGCAGGGGGCCATTGGTGTCTTTGCCTACGGTGTTATTCGCCGTAACAACAGTTTTTGCCGTCCCAATGGAAGTCCGAATGACCCGCGCTCGTTTCACACGCTTCCATTTGTGCAGCCGGTGGCGCAGGTCGAGAGCTCTTCATTTGTGTTTGACGACTTCTTACACACCGCCTACGTGGATGTGATGAACCTGCACGAATGTTACGCCAATATTGTAGCAGACGGGTTATGCTTGCTCTGTGAGGTTGTCGCCGCCTCTTCTAATGGCCTGTCCCTCGCGGCCGCCACGTTTCCTGGCGTTCAATACGATGCAGTCAGGGCGTCCTCCAACGGACTTCTGTTGGAAGACTACGACCGGGGGTGGGCCGCGGATGGTGGCATTGGTGCATGGATGGTGCAGGGCAGTATGACGGAAGTCACTGGCAACCTGGTTGAGGGCAATCGAAACATTGGCGTCTTCTACTCACGTGGTATAGAGCACCACCACCAAAACGTGACACACTTCCCTGTGTACCCCGCTGGTGGGTTCCCGACCATCCCGGGCGGCGAAGTCATCTCTGGTCGTGAGCGCAGCACGCAGGATCAGTCGGGGCGGTGTCTGTTGTTCTCTTCCAACGCCGTGAACCCGCGCTGCGGCGACACGGAGCGTCTTTCGCCCTCGTCGCTGCCCTCAGGCCGCGGCCACAACGGCAGCCACGACCCACACACACCTCCTGGCACGCCGCGGGACGGGGAGGCCTATTCGGCGCTCGCAGACGCACCGTTGCTCCTCCGACGCCCGGGAGCCGTCCGCGGAAATCGGATCACGAAGAACGGTTACGGTCTTGTCATGCACTTGCACCACGTCACGAAGGCGCATGCCTTTAACGATGGGAACGCGTCTGACAGCACGTCAGCGCGCGCGCAAGAGCTGGGCACAGGCGGCTCAAAGGGCAACGCGGGGCGGAAGCCAGCAGCGCGCCGGAAAGGGTCAAAGGTCCTGGTCACTTCCCTCAGAGAAGGCAAGCTGCGCAGGGGGTCCTCTGCTGCCAAGACAAGGAAGGAAAACGAGAGGGCAGGTGACAGCTCGCACAATTCGGCGGCTCCTGCTGCCGTCACTAGTGTCACTGCTACTTCTACAGCCACCATCGCCCCCACCACCAAAGTTGCCGGCGCCGCCTCTTTGATGTTGTCGAACACTGATCTAGGGGAGCCTGAATTCGCAGTGACTGTTGAGGAAAATCATGTCTTCGAGAACTGCAAAATGGGTGTTCTTTGCCAGCACGTCGTTGAGGCCATGTGCGGCCGCTTGTTGACCTCCCGGCTTGCGTTTGAAGATGTAGCCAAGGAGTACGACGACGTTTGCGTCCAAATCACCTTGAAGGGAGAGTTGAAACAGCCCAAACCGCGCTTCGAACTTGTACCCTTCGGACAAATGACGCGTCATGCCAGACTCTCGGGGAATGAAATCTACAACAATGCCTCCACACAGATGGAAGTGACATCCCGGTACGTCGCCATTGCACTCGATAAGACGCGCACGTTGCTTCAGCTCGATACGCTGCGCCATCCTAATGCCTCCATGTGTTCCTCTCAAGCACTTATTCGAATTCCTTTGTTTGCTTCACTGATAATGACTACGCCACCTGGTATGTTTCTAATAGAAAGCAATCGTTTCCGCGATGGTGCTAGGGGTATTCATCTAGTGGGTCTTCTTGGGAGTAATTCCTGTTGCCTGCGTCATAATGCCTTTGTTAGTATTGCTGGCACGGCTGTTCATCTTGAGGGGCATCTTGCCTCCGCAAGTATCGGGAATGGAAACGTCTTTGAAATGAACGATGTTGCTGTTCGAATTGTGTTGCCGGATGGCAACATATCGGAAGAGGATCGTAAGCAACAGGAGGCAATGGGTGTGGTGACACGTATTTATGGAAACCTCTTCTCTGCACCCAGGTCCATATCTGTGACTGTGGAAGGAGGAGGTGCGTTACCACCGGTTATCTCTGGGAATAATTTCTCCAATCATATGTGCGGCTCTGTGGCGTTCTTCATCGACGGAAGTACTGTCAGTGCGAGGCTGACTAAAAACGTTTTCACTGAAAACTACATCCCAGTCATTATATCCAACCGAGCTGGTACGGGAGAAGGTGCAGGCGGCGCCGTCGTTGCTGAAGAGAACCGCTTTTCTAGAAACTACATTGGGCTGTTGGTGTGCGGCGGTGCTGCGCCGAGGCTTCTGCGCAATGTGTTTGAGCAGAATTACCGGGCAGGATTAGAGATTGTAGGGGACGAGACAAAGCCACTGGTGCGGCACTGTGTGTTTGCAATGCACAAGCAGTGGGAGCAGGAGGCGTCTACAAAGGTGGTTTTCGCGTACCCGAAGGACGGCCAGCTGTGTCTGCAAGGCGTACCGAAGTTTGAGGCCACGCTCGTACCAGACAATAGCGCGTCACCCAATGGAAAAGGTCATCTTCCCGCCGGTGTGCTCCTCAGTGCGGACGGCAATGGTCTCGTGGATCAGTGTCTTTTTAAGGAAAATGCCATTGGTTTGGATGTCGTGCGCAGCGCCGCACCCATCACTGTACAGCCGTGTTCCTCCTGCTTCCGCCTCACGTCGTGCTTCTTCACGGAAAATGTGGTGTCGGGTGTATGGGTGCGCGGCGGTGTGGTGTCAAACAGTAAGGTGGCTGCACGCGCAGTGCTGAGCGACACTTTGGCAGATGTTGGGAGCCCGGCCATCGAGGGCTGTTTCTTCGCGCACAATGTGAATGACACAGAGAACCTTGGCGATGTCGTTGCCTTGGATGGGGGATTTGCTGCCTTTCGCGGGAATATGTTCACAGGATGCGTTCATGGCAAGAAGGACGGCATGGCACTCTTTGAAAACAACACACTTCTCTTTTCTGGGGCTATTGATGTTGCTGTGCGCATGCACAAGGCGACACGCATACGGCTGGTGGGAAATACGATTCGCGGCTACAAGACTGGCGTCGTCACAGAACCCGGTGCGTGGGGTCAACTAGAAAAGAACTGGATTCTGAACTCAACCCGCTCTGTCATTGCAGCTCCGTTCTGTCACACACTCTTCACGGGCAATCGCATTATGAAGGCGAAGGACTGTGGTGTGGTAACTTATGGTGGTGTTTTCACTGACAACGAGATATGCTCCTGTCCAACAGGTGTAGTGGTTCAGAATCCAATAGAGTACAAAAATTACGACCTAATACCTGCCATTGAGAGGACGGCGTTTGATGCGTTGTTGTCAGAGAACCGAGTGCATTCATGCGAGGTTGATGGTATCTTAGTTGCAGGTGGAGCTCGTATTGAGGGCAATATTGTTTTTAATTGCAAAAACAACATGAATGTGATTTGCCCTCAGAGAGTGGGAAATGTGACATCTATTGCCACCATCTCCAGGAATGTACTGTACGATGGTGATGTTGGAATTTTAGTGGCCAAAGGGTCTGATTCGGTTATTCGCGACAATGACATCTTCGATAATGCCTTTGTGGGGGTTTGGGTTCGGGCTGGAGCCTCAGGCGCCTTGCAAGGCAATGCCATCTCGAGCTCCCTGAGGGATGGCGCACTAGAACTGGAACAAGGGTGTGAGATGAAGGTCATGCAGAACACTGTGCGCAACCAATTCTCTCCGTCCTACCACAGGACGCTGCCAATGCACCGCGAGAAGGAGCGGCAGCGAGCAGCTGAGGCGTTAGTGCTTGAGCTGCAGGAGCTGGACACTGCGGTTGCCGAACTTGGAGGGCGTTGCAACCAGGTGGAGATGACCCTGCGTGCCATACTGGAATCGCTGAAGCAGGAGGGCGGTGCAGGGGATGGTCTCAGCTCGCTGGGCGGTACGGTAATGGTTGGCGCGGCCTCCAAAGCGCTTCGGGCCTCCGCACTTGCGGTCAATACTGCAGATAGCCTCACGGTACCAGGTGGTAAAGGCTTGCGTCGCGGTTCTGTCGACAAGAGTGTCTCGATATCGGCCGTACGGGCTTCCAGGTCTGTGGATCGCCGCATGAGTCAGTCAACGATTCCCACCACACACGACAAGTACCAGCACGTCCTTATTCATGTCTTCAGCGCCGGCAAGGCAACGCTGGAGGGTACGCAGCTTGGCAAAAAGGTGGAGGCCGCCTTTGCGTCTTCGCCGGTGGCGTCGCGCGTAAAGTTCCACACAACTCTCACGACAAACTCCAGCAGCCTCGCTGCCTCGCTCACCGCACAGAGGCCGGATGTTGTGGTTATTGTAGTTGGCGCTGGAAAGTCCGAGTTCGACGCGGAAGAAACGATTGCACTGTCTAGCCTTGACCGCCTGCGACGCGGGTCGGTAGGCGGCGAGAGACGACGCTCGAGCGAGAGTGGAGTGATGTGCGCCTTCACACTCCTGCCTCCGGGATGGAAGGCGAAGGTGGAGCGACGCTCGTCCTCAAAGAAGGAAGGAGCAGCAAGAATAAGCATGGAGCAATATGCGGCAGCACACAATCCCATATATTACCATGATAATGTTTCAGATGCCATCTTGGAGATGGAGCGGCGGCTCGAGTCGCAGTTCCCCGCTTCGCCCCTCGGTTTCCAAAGCGCAAGAGACGGCGAAGAGGAGATTGGCAGGGCAACTACCGCCCCGCCGAATAAAGTGCAGGTGCTTCAACAATCCTTGGGTCAGAAGAATTCATTGTCCTTGCACATATCGGCTGCGATCTCGCTGCCATCTTCGCCGAGTGAAGCTTTTAAAATGTCAAAGTGGAAGTCGCCCGAAGAGCGGCAGTCTGGGCCTGGGCCCCTCTTGGTGTCCCCAAACACAAACACTAAGGTTCTCTCAGTTGACTTACCCAAGGTGAAAACAGCACAAGACCCCATTACGCGCTAAGTGGGGCACTCTATTTGACAACTCTACGGCGTGGAGTTCGTCTTTCCTTTTGTGTGTACCATTGTTTGGTTTTTAGATGCTTGGCGCTGTCAATCATTTTGCGGTTTCCACGTGACTTTTTTTCTTGTCCTAATCCTACTTGGATTTTTGCTTGACGGTCTCAAAATGTAAACCATGGAATGGCGCAACAATGTGTGCCAGAGCTCTTGAAAGGATGTCTCCAACCCTCTATCACTGTCACAAGACGTTTGATCGTTTTCCCTCTCTCTCTCTCTTTTCCTACTGTTCGTCTCCTGGCGTACGCATCTTTCATCCTTCTTGATGACGCTCAAGCCCCTATTTACCTTGCTGTATATTCTCTTTTTTATCGTTAAAGGTGAAGGGAATAGAGGGGTTTTCTGTATCCTGTGGTGTGGCGCAAAAAGGCTTGATGGTAGCCATTCCAAAAGAAGAGAATAGTGTTGGGGTCGGCGGCGGTAGCAGCAGGGGCAGCAACAACAACAACGGTGGGGGACCTCTCCACCGATTCTTCTTCATAAACAACATCCTCTGCTGCTCGGAGTCTGCGGACGGCTCTTTTCGGCCGTCGGATGTGTTTGTTGGGCTTGACCCGCCTCCGACAACAACCCTTTTGCTCGGCAACGCATCCTCACCCAGCAGCGACACCACAACGGAGGTTGGTGTTGAGGCTGTGGAAAGGGATTGTCTTCTCTTCAACACCTTTGGCGTTTTATCAGGGGGTGTTCTTGTTGATCCATGCACGCTGCGCTTCGTAGACTTTACCGATGACATGATCATCACACCGACTGTTTGCCAAGAGCGCAGCGGGAATGATGCGCATTACGAATCGCTGGCGCATGACAAGATTCGGGCAGAGGGTGTTCTGTGTCTGTGCTCGTCGATTGAGCCATTTAACGCCTCAGGGACACGGCACACGCCGCTTTCATGGCCGCGGTCGCTCCTTCCCATGAATCCGACAGGTGTGCGCAACTTGGCTCGGCGCACCCTCCGCGGCGTCCTGCGCCGCCTCCATCCGAGCGCCCCACTGGACTACGGAAAGTTGTCCGTCTTGGAGCACCTCCGGTGCCAGATCAAGTGCACGCGTCCACAGACGACGTTCCTCACGGAAAATATTCCATTCCGGTTTCAACTCGGTGGGAAGCGGTATCGGCTCGAAGAAGAGGGTAATGCGAGCAGCGGCGACAGCAGCAGTGGTGGTATTGCCGCCACGGTGGGATCGCCGTACTCCACGTTTCACGCCTTCACAGGTCTTCCAAAAATGATTAAAGCGAAGGTTGATTATGCGGCCCCCTTCTGTCCTGAATTTGGCGTGGCGCGCCGTCTGGAGCTGCATGTGCGGCGGTTGGTGCGGCCTACGCGCGGGGAACTCTATATCGGGGAAGGCCCACGACGTCCATCGCATACGTTAGGGCTTCGTAGGTTATGGTGGACGTTTTTCCGATACTTTGAGATTCTCCGCGTGCGCCCCTCCTCTCCCTCATCATCAGCGGAACGCACGGTATGGCGGCTGGAGGATGACGCGGATGTGAAGTACACCACTGCACTGCAGGAATTTGATGCTGCGCGCATTGAGGGGAGAGCTCCGCGGGGAAATAAGCGTGTTGCTTCTGATGCGTGGGACTGGCTCCTCCGCCACGACCGTGAACGTCTGCTGCGGCGCCTTCAGCGGGTTCAGCGCTGCTTGAACAAAATTGACTCGGCACGAGATTCCAGTCTCTAGTCGTCTGTTGTTGTTGTTGCTGTTTGTGTGTGTGTTGAGCCTCTGAATGGGGACAGCAAGGCCCTGGCATGTGTCGCCAGCTTTTTTTTTTT